ATTGATACACATTTTATTGTAGATTAAGGTCACAAGTCTTTGTTTAGAAATGTTTTCTTTGAAATCCCAACTTAGGCAAATCTAACAAATGTGTCTGGGACAAAAATCCTTCCTTATGAGAATCTCTAGAAATGCAGTACACTGCAGCACCTCCTAGCTGTAAATTAGACCTAACCACGAAAATGACCCATAATATTGCTGGGCCCTTATTACAATTGTGGGGGGCACCTGTGGATGATAATTGAGGAGCGGTGAATAATAGCTCCACATCTGCTACAACTAACATTGGGTATCTATTGAAGATGGCACAGGGTACCTACACTAACATGCATAGCCTTCAAGAGAACTGTTATGCCACTGATTTCACCGAGCCCTGCCTCGTTGACATCTTATTGGCCCAAGTGTACCATTTGGGTGGGGAGGAGGGAAGTGGATGTTGACCTGACGCAGGTAGATGGACAGATTGATACGTGATTTACCCTCAAGTCACCATAATCTGCCACTTTACAGATCTACGTATCCCACAATGACAGCATGAGCCCATTATCTGACCAGACCATTATTATCCTTGTGTCTGGCTGTTCATGGCGTAGGAATCAATTTTCATACGATTGATTTCGCTGCAGGGCTATTCCATCAACTTGATATTTATAACAATACGGGATCATTTTGAAGTAATGAAAGTGGCCAGAGGGCAATGCCAATCATCATTCTACGAGCATGACCATTTCTTGATCAACACACGCACTAGTACATAAACAACACATCAACATAATTCGGTTTAAAATCACTCTTAGAATCCATGCAAGGAATGTCAGAACATAAAGATAACGTGGAACGAGAAAAAGGCAATTCTCCCATTAAGTTCCTTCTATTTAATAACTTGGCGTAAAATGAGCTGCAATTCCGGATTCCCTGGGGTTCTTATTGTCAGTCACTGGAAGAAAATGTTCCTTGTTCTGTTTTGACGGATTCAATAAGGTTTGTTAGGTAGGGTATCAAGGGATATGCGGCAAAAGCGGGTAATTGGAGTTGAGGTACAGATCAGCCATGAGGGAATAGAATGGCAGAACAGGCTCTAAGGGTTGAATGGCCTACTCCTGTTCCTATGTTCCTACAAGCCACAGTGTGACAGATTGTGATAGCCTGTAATAGCACAGAGGGAATGTGTTCGATAGGTGGATTCTGTCCACTGTGACAGCTGCTAATCAATAGTTTATTGGTTTTCAATAAGTCAAGTTTCTCAGGGGGGTCTTTTTTTGAAAAAAATTAATAAGTATTGCATTGTCACTGTGTATACTTGGTTACATTTCCACCCAAATCCACCCTGGAACAAAGAGCGACAGTAAAATCGCGTCTCTTTCTTGTTAGATTTGTTCGCCCACAAATATGCAATCAATTCACTCTACAGTGTGTTCTGCGAAGCGCGTTGGGACGCGAAAAGCGCGATATCAAATGCAAGGATTATTATTATTATTATTATTAGATAAACTGGCTTGTGTTAAAATAATGCCTTGGGTGCCTTGAAAACAAACTAGATGCAGCTTTCTTTCTGGATTTTTTTTTGTACTAGCGTTGTTGCATATGCACCTCAGAGGCGACTTACAAAGCGACACCTTGTGTGTGTGTGTGTGTGTGGTGTGTGTGTGTGTTGGTTTTTTTTCTCTCTTTTTTCCCTTTGCAATTGAAAGAGATGAAAGAGTGTGGCCATCTGCCGGCGATGAGACTGTCTACTGTGTACAAGACCCAAAACATAACCATTACCAGATAGGAGTGAACGCCTCAAGAGGCTTATTAGTCGATCCATCAATTTGCAAATACACATGTGGCCATTTCAAAGGCATATTATCCTCCAATGCGATTACATGACATAAGGGGTATGTGTGTGTGTGTGTGTATATCTGTGTGTGTGTATTTGTGTGTGTGTGTGTGTCCATTTGCTCCAGACAACACCTCTGGGAACTGTAATTAATGGAAACCTAATGTCCAGATTGATGGTTTGAAATATAATGCTATATATTTATATATATATATATGTGTGTGTGTGTATATTTATAAGTGTCTCTGGTCACACTGGCAATTTGTTTTTATTTTTATAAATTGTCTCGACCATGATCATTGCAGCCCCAAAATAAACCAAGTCCTACCTCCCCAGGACACAATTGGAACACGACAGACATCAAGGCTTTCGGTTAAAGTGTTTTTATATATTTTTTGTATATATATATATATTCGGATGCAATTGGTGGATGTTTTCACGTCGTGTGTGTGTGTGTGTGTTCTTTGAATCACTTTCTGCTGTGAGCCAGGGTTATGGTGAGCACGTTTTGTCTTTTTGCTGAACTATTGATGGGGGATAAGTGAAAATCCATTTTTTTATGTAAAAAAAAAGGAACCCTTGAAAATGACGAGGATGCAAAAAAAAAAAAACCCCACTATTTATGTACAACTGCTCGGTTTGTTCTTGATGTTGATCATATCTCTGCATTGCAATAAACTG